ATTAAATTTCCTACTTTATGTCCATCATCTTTACTTTTTATGCCTATAAAAGGCCATGTAATTGCAATGGAAAAATACACCAAAGTGAAAGAAGAAAACACTTCTCCCTTCTTTCTATCTCTTCTTATTTACATTTTACTGCATTACTTTTATTTTATTACAATAGAATATTTTTTTGGAGTAAAAAAATGGAGTAATGGTTGGAGTAACTTTACTCCATTTTGGAGGAGAAAATGGAGGCAAGGGTTGGAGATGAACTTAGAGCCTCAAAAACCAAAGCGACTAATTACAAAATCTTTGCAGTAAAGAACTACACCTACGTGCTCTTTTTGAGCTCTTACTAAGTTCTATCCTTTCCTGAAGTTCCTTTTATATATGTGTGCTCGTGACCTCTATCTTTACAATTGTCGCCTTAAAATATTTTCAGTTTCTAGCTTTTCACACATGATATATCTCAGCTCCAAGAATTGCTGTTGCTGTCTCTTTTTTGAATTACCTCTAATGTCTTCTTTTGATCCACCGTATTGATTGCAGTACTTCTTTCCCTTGTATTTTGACGCCTAACCATGTTTTCATCTTGTCTTTCAGCTCTATTGTCCATCCATATTCATAGAACCAATGTCTCTGTATTTCCTCCTGCAAATCATCACATAATTCACATATTGTGAAGTCTAATTGTATCTGCAATCTGCTCAACCTTTCCTTCGTTAGTAATCTTTTGTGACTTGCTAACCACAAAATGAGCTTGTGTCTAGGCAGCATCTATGAGCTCCATATCATATTTGCCTCGTTCCATCATGTACATTGTTCAGTAATGCTTGATAGTTAGTTGACATTGAATAATAAATGGATTTAGAGAATTGTTTCAACAAAATTAAAATAAGGGAGGTATGTGTAATATCGTAAACCTCAAGGGAAGTGACCTTAACGAGGCCAAACCCGAGGAGATGTCTTTAAAATTAACCCAATTCTTTAAATATTTTTGCTAATGCACCTTCATTTGATCCTGATCCTCATGTGTGGATCGAATGGTAGACTAGACTAGACTAACAGTTGCGTGACCACATACAATGAAGGTTGATAAGTTAAACATCCTTCATCAAAAAATTATACCGTGTATATAAAAAATTATACTAAGTATATAAATCAAAAAATTACTTTTTACACATGTATATAGGGATGTACATGGACTGGGTTGATTCGATTTTTTATCAAAATCAAACCAAACCACCTATATCAGTTTGGATTGGTTCGATTTTGTCGGGTTTTCGGATTTTTTTATTCTGTAAATATTATTTCAATCTTATTTTTGTTAAATTTTTTTATAAGTAAATATATGTTTAGTAAAAATTGAAAAAAATGACAAATATATGATCTATTAGAACATTCTTATTGAAGAGTTTTCATAGTAACACATGATAGTTATTTTTTAGTCATCTAACAATAATTTTACGTTGATGTACACTTTCAAGGTTAGCCGAATTTAATAGTACATAAAAATAAATATGAACCTATATAATGATATGTTCTATTTAATTTTAAATTATCTAAATAACATTTCAAACTCGAAAAAGATATAAGAATTTAATAGATCTTAACATATAAATATGGAAGAACAAAGATATTGACTCATTTCACTAACACTTGATAAGAAAGTGATCATACAACCTATTATTTAAAGTTCCTTCATATTTAACTAAATATTACATCCCATAAGAGAATCACAAATATTTCTAGATATTTTTGAAGAAAAACTCTATAAAAAAGCTTAAAAGTATATATAAAAATTATACATTTATATGTCGGTTTGGTTTGGATTTTTTTACTCAATACCAAACCAAATCAAACCAAACCTGATTGAGTTTTTTAATCGATTTAATTTAACTTTTCGTTTTGGTGCGATTTTTCGGTTCGGTTTGTACACCCCTACATGTATATATTAAATCTTGAACACTCTTTGCGAAATTTCTGACTTCGCCGTTTACTTTAAATATGTATCTCGATTATTTAGATCGACTATGAGTGGATGTCATTTCAAAGTGTAATGGAAGCCATCAACTTAAGCAACAGATCTAATTCATAGCATCGACCCTCTAGATAATTATAGTTTTGTATCTAAACTTAGGCATGGACAAATAAATTGACTATTACTAAAGTGTACAAATTTACTTTGTGATATCGAGAAACTAATACTTCTTCAATCCCTTTTATCTTATATATTATTTGACATTATTACTATTTAAAGAATTAAACAATATTTTTTCTATGTATTTTACAGACTTATAAATATCTTTATTTTCAAAATTAATACTTTGATGTAATTTTGCTTTTGACCCCTGACCCGGTGGAAGGGAAAATTGGAAATGGGATTTTAACGTTTAATAGAGTTCCAATCAACTTCGAATTGCACGACCACTCCAAAAAAAGAGAAGGAAACAAACACGAAGGTCCCCCAAATTTGCTAGGAACAATCCAATATGATACCTAACGGAGTTGAAGACGAAGAGAAGTGGCTTGCCGCTGGGATCGCCGGCCTTCAGCAGAACGCTTTTTACATGCATCGCGCTCTTGTATTTTCCCCAAGCCTCTATTTTTTACTTGTAAAATTTGAGCTTTTTGATATTCAAAACCCCTAATTTGGAGTTTCCAGGACTCGAGCAATCTGAAAGATGCATTGAAATACTCGGCTCAGATGCTCTCGGAGCTCCGAACTTCCAAGCTTTCTCCTCACAAATACTACGAGCTATGTAAGTGATTTTCACTGATCTAGATCCATATTTTGCCTCTTAGTGTGTAAGTTAGAATTTGAAGATCCTTTAACCAGCAGTATTGGAATTGTGCTTTGTTAGATATGCGGGCATTTGATGAATTGAGGAAGCTAGAGATTTTCTTCAAGGAGGAGAGTAAGCGTGGTTGCTCTATTGTTGACTTGTATGAGCTCGTGCAGCACGCTGGCAACATTTTGCCCAGATTGTAAGTTGTTATGGCGATCCAGTCCTTATTCTGAATCCTTAATTGTGTTAACTGGAGTATGCAAATAAGGCTGAACTTTGTAAGATACTATAGAGTCCTTATTAAGACAGGCTAAGATATATCAATTTTCTGTTTCTGCTTTTTAATCCTATTGTAAATATTACATAGTGCTGTTTGGTCGTTAATGGCATATTAGTTTACTGATAAGAAAAGCATTTGCTCAAACTTTGCAGTCTTATTCTGTTTAAATATTTCAAATGCTAAATACTCAAATAAGTAGTAAAGCACATACTATCTGATAACTCTAAAATGGGTTAGATCCAATTGGGCTTCACCCTATATGAATCAAGGAAAAGGCTACCAGTTGGATTTTTGGGTCTTACAAACTCAGTGTCTAATTAGAATAGCAGGAAAAGCCTAGTCCACAAACAACACTTCCACAATTAGCAAAGAAGTTACCACATTTGACTAAACCTCTTAAGGTGTTTGTCACAAGGAGGACCTGGTCAAGTGATTGCTTCACCACAACTTGGGAAGCAAGCACCGTTGGCTAAGTAATACTAATCATGTGCTCGCGAACGTGCACTACCCCACCTATACTTGATCATGCCCAAGTTATTGGGATAAAATTTGGAGCAACAACAACAATAACATACCTAGTGTATTTCCACAAGTGGGGTTTGAGAGGGTAGGGTGTAGGCGGCCTAACCCTACCTGAAGCAGGTAGAGAGGCTGTTTCCGGTAGACTTTCAGTTTATGGCACGCATAATCAAAGCAGTAAGAAGGAAATATAGTAGTGAAAAATTCATGAAAAAGAACAGGAACAACAGCAAGATAGCAACAAATCATAATTTGGAGCATATCAGATAATAATTTGGGAATAGGAAAGGTCCAACCTTTCTTGTATTACTAGCACACCCTTGTACAATGATGGATATAATCCATTTTACACGCAATAGTCAATCCAATCCAATTCACTTCACTTCCGTGCTCTCTTTATTAATTTAGCCATTATAAGATTTATTTACAGCACCTTCAGCTGAAGCTGCAGTGACATGTGCTTTGACTTGGGAAATGTGCCGCCTATATTTTTTCGTTTCTAACTTTTTTCCGATGATTCTTTTCACCGGTGATTTTTCTTCTTACCACGGGAAGGAAATCTTTTTTCATAGCTGGCAATAAATCTTTCGAACTTATTGAAGAATGTGAGGGACTTGACAGATGGTATGTTTGGATTGAGCGTGGCCATAGATTCACTAGTCAGATTAAGATCGATGAAAACAATTTGAGATGGGTATGCGAACAAATGCAGCATGCTTCACGGGGCTATAGTAATCTTTACAGAAGATGGGGGAGGAAGATTCAAGCGTACATCTACAGAGTCTATCAAAACTATAACATTCATGACATATATCTTAGAATTGAAACATGGGTTGGGGAAAGGAAAAAATCAATCATCATACCGGAAGCTGATTACAATAAGGGTTGGGGTGACATAGCAGGGAAGTTATTACAATTTTTGGGGAAGCGTCAAACTACAAATACAAGGAAATTACAGACCTGCGAAAAAGATCCTTCTTGACGGCTGCAACAATCACAAAATGGCCTACACAGCAAGAAGATGGTGAAACCTCCTATAAAGCTACTGTAGAGAGCTCCCAATTTCTAGCAAAATGCTTGGTTGGCTGTTTCAACGATCCTTTCCACTCCAGCCCTATTCCTGACGTCATCCAGAAATGGTTCATCACAAGATGGCAGGTGACGACAGGTCTTAGAATCACTCCTATAGCACACAATCAATTCCTCTTTGAGCTCCCATCCAGTCAAGAGGCAGCCAGAGTTAAAGCAGGGGATTGGTATTGGAATGGTAGGCAGTTATCTTTAGAGTGGTGGTCACCGGAGGCAGGGTCGTCTTCGGCGAAGAATGAAGCTGATCAGAAATGGGGTGAAGGCATTTGGTATTCCATTGCATGGATGCACAATGAACACCTTTCGTTACATCGGTGACCTATGTGGTGGCTTTGTTGGGATAGATGAAGATACAAAGCACGGATCTAATCTTTTTGGGCCCGAATCTGTGTCCATGGCAGGGAAGTTGACCCCCCAAAGGAATTGGATCTGGTGATTGACAAATTGAAATACAGAATATCATTTCTAGAGGACCAAACAACCAAGATAATCCAAGATGAAACAAAATTGTTGGGGTGGAGAAAAGGAAGACGGCGGAGATATGGCAGAATGAGTCGTTGGTAGAGGCTTCTTCGAGCTTCTCGAAGATGACATGGGAAAACCCGCTGATCAATAGTATAGTGCACAGACGTCAGAGTCACTTTAATTCAAATGTAATTAATGTGACCCAAATCAAAACGGGTGGCCCGCCACGTATGAATCTCCCAAATCTTAATAATAGACGTGGTAAAGAAGTGGAAAAGAAATTGGGCCGCAATCTGGACCAGTCATACTATACAAAAGGCCCAAAGGGTAAACAACAAAGGAAAGGCAGCTTCTATAGACAAAAATGGCTGGCTATTGGGCCACTCTTTGACCCATGTTCTAAACGTAATAGCCTTCTCCCACAGTCAAATAGATTTGACCCTCTCTTTGTTGAAATAGAAGCAGCAAAAGACCAGATAACAGAGCAGCAGATTCCGCCCTTTGCATGCGATTCTCCATTGGATGCAGATGACGAGGCAGAACCAATGAATCAGATTATTCCAAGACCTCCGTTGATGAAGCAATTTGAAACTGTAAGCAGCTCTGAAGCCGATATTTCTTCTTGAGATCTCTATCTCTTCCATGGTATGGTATGGGTCATTCGGATTCGCAAGATATCGGTGCACCAACAGTTATTGAAACCTCAAGATGGACCAAGTCGGTGATGCTCAAAGCTTGCAAGGTTTTTGGGGTAAATGTTGTGAGGTTCGAACATGAAATATTTGCCATGGTCCTTCGAATGGAACAAAAAAGACAAGAGCAAATCAAGGCCATCACAAAAGGGAAGAAGAAGCGGTCATTAGAATTGGAATGGTTGAGATAGGGAATGAATTATGATGGTAAGAAGCAATGTTATTAAAAGCGCTCGCTTTTTGGTTTAAGCGCTGAAGCGACGCGGCGCAGGGCTATCGCTTTTCTGCTACAAAAGTGACTCACATTTAAAAAGCGCTCGATTCTCGCGCTTAAGCGAGAAGCCCCTCAATGGAAAAGCGATAAAAAGGCGTGCTTAAGCGAGCAAAAGGCATCTGCTAGGGTTTTTTTAAAATTTTTTGGCAAATAAGCCATCTGTTAACAAATAAACATACGCTCTTCAACGACTTCTTCTCCAGCGAACTCCAGCGACGTCGAAGGTTTCTTCAACTTCTTCTTCTTCTTCTTCTGTTTTTGTTCTTCTTCTTCTGTTCTTCTTCTCTTCTTCTTTTTTGGTTCTTCTTTCAATTTTTTTTCACTTTTTAAGCGCTGATTTTGTGCCCTAAACGACTTCTTCTTCTTCTATTCTACTTTGTGCTCTGTTTTCTGCTTTATCATCTGCTTTATGCTCTGTTTTCTGGTTCGTGTGAATTAACTGTTTTTTTTTTTGGTTGTTGATTGTAGTATCTATTATTTACTTCTTGATTCAAGAATTGAAACATTTGCTTAATATGTTATTTTTAATGAGTTCTTAGCCAGTTATCTATGCCTATTTTTTTTTTATTTATGTGTTAAATTGCGCTTCACATGAAAAAAGCGCGCGCTTTGCTTCTCGCTTCGGTGAAGCGAGGCGTCGTCGCTTTTTTGCACTTAACGCTTTCCAAAACACTGGTAAGAAGACGGGGGAAAGGGACAGGCACTACAAAGCCTTTTCTGGATGAAGATCAAAATCCTAACCTGGAATGTACGGGGTCTAAATGAAGCGGAAAAAAGCACAATAAAGTCATTGATTCATAAATGGAAAGCAGATATAGTTTGCCTCCAAGAAACAAAAATAGAAGAGTGGTCACCATACTGGATTAGGCAAGTTTGGGGCAATAGATGGATCGACCGGGCAGAACTCAATTCAATTGGAAGAAGTGGTGGTATCATTGTTCTTTAGGACAAAAGACAGTGGCTTAACAGAGGGGTACATCAAGGCTCTTATACAATTTCATGCATGTTTGAAAGCACCCAAGAGAACTTTAGATGGTGCTTCACAGGGGTTTATGGGCCTCACACTAACCCAGAGAGAGAGAGACTCTGGCATGAGCTTGCAGCCATCAGAGGAACATGGGAAGATCAATGGGTCATAGGGGGTGACTTTAATGTTTGTAGGTATGAGAGTGAAAGATATAATTCTATAAGGAGATCCAGGGCCATGAAATCCTTCACTGACACCATACAAGATCCGGGTATCATAGATTTGCCTCTTTAGAGGGCTCATTACACTTGGTTTAGAGGTGAAGAGTCTTTGCAGGCATCCAGAATAGATAGGTTCCTCATTACCCCCAAGTGGAATGACAACTTTAAAGCAATCAAGCAACTAGCCCTTCCTAGAGTTGTCTTAGATCACAGACCTTGTTATTAGAATGTGGTGATTGGGCAGCCAACCCCTCATATTTTAAGTTTGAAAATATGTGGCTTCAGGCTGAAGGCTTCATGGACAAGGTTAAGGAATGATGGCTTAGTTATGCAGTTGATGGTAATCCAGACTTCATTCTACTGTAGAAACTAAGGTGTCCGAAAAAAGACATCACAGGATGGAATAAGGAGTCCTTTGGTCAGCTGGAAGCAAGGAAGACTACCGGAAGATCTAGCTCTACTGGAACTAGCAACTGAAAACAAACCGATGACACAAGCAGGAAAAGAGGAATCAATGCACATGAAGCTTGAGCTATAGCAAATGGCAAAGGCAGAAGAGGTTTCATGGAGGCAAAAGTCTAGGTGTCTATGGCTCAAAGAAGGAGACAGAAACACCAAATTTTTTCAGAAAATGGTCAACTCTCATAGAAGAAATAACTGCATAGACAAACTGATGATTAGGGAGGAAATTAGTGAAGATAGTGAGGAAATTAAAGCTGAAATCCTGACTTTCTATCAAGATTTGTACACTGAAAATGAAGCATGGAAGCCTAATGCTAACTTTGAAAATCTAGCTACCTTAACAACAGACGAGAAGGTATGGCTAGAAAGAGCATTTGAAGAAGAGGAGGTGAAGGCAACAATTAACTCTTGTGCACCGGACAAAAGTCCAGGTCCTGATGGATACACAATGGCTTTCTATCAAGGAGCTTGGGATATAATTAAAACTAACATAATGGGTGCTCTTAACCACTTTCACCAGCATTGCTACATGGTCAGATCTAGTAATGCTTCTTTTATCACACTAGTCCTCAAAAAGAAAGGTGCAATTGAACTCAGAGACTTCAGGCCCATTAGTCTCATTGAAAGTGTATACAAGATCATAGCTAAACTCTTAGCAGAAAGGTTGAAGTCAGTCATTTGGAAGTTGGTCTCAAAAGAACAAAATGCATTTCTGAAAAAAAGTAAACATATCACAGATGCTTCACTTGTAGCAAATGAGTTGCTGGATGGGAGATTAAAGAATGGGGCCCAGGCATTCTCCGCAAGCTTGATGTAGAGAAAGCATTTGATAAAGTCAATTGGTCATACTTACTCTCTATGTTGAAAGATATGGGATTTGGTGATAGATGGATTAGATAGATTAAATTTAGCCTGACGACTGTTAAATACTCCATTCTAGTCAACAGAACTCCAGTTGGTTTTTTCTCTCCACAAAAAGGGATAAGGCAAGGAGATCCCCTATCTTCCTTTTTATCATCTTAGCCATGGAGAGATTGAGCAGATTGACAAGGCAAAACAAAGGCAGTGGATTGAAGGGTTCAAGGTGCGCAACAGTGCATCTACCTCAGTCATAGTATCTCATTTACTGTATGCAAATGACACTATAATATTTTGTGGGGCAGAGAAGCTACAAGTTCAATATCTAAACCTGACACTACTTTTTGAAGCCATCTCAGGGCTGCACATTGATATGGAGAAAAGTTTAATTTACCCGGTGAATGAGGTGCCTAATCTGGAGGAATTGGCTGGAATTATGGGTTGTGGCATCTGCTCTTTCCCAACAACATATCTAGGCCTTCCTTTAGGAGCAAAGTACAAAGCAACTGAATTTTGGAATGGAGTCATTGAAAAGGTAGAGAAAAGACTGACAACATGGAAAATGCAGTATTTGTCAATGGGAGGGAGATTGACACTGATCAATAGTGTTCTGGAAGTTCAAAAGCAACTGGACAAAATTAGAAGATCTTTTCTATGGGAGGGCAACAATGAAGGACATAAATTCCACCTGGTTAAGTGGTCCAAAGCAATCATGCCAATGAACTAAGGTGGACTGGGTATTAGAGATTTACAAAAGCACAACAAGAGCCTTCTATTGAAGTGGTGATGGAGGTATGCACAAGAAACCACGAGCATATGGAAGAAGGTGGTAACAACAAAGTATGGGAAGCTGGACACTTGGAGCACAAAGCAAAGCAGAGCTCCATATGGAGTAGGGCCATGGAAACATATTAACAATCTGAAAGAGGAATTCTTTCAAGAGGTATCTTTCAGAGTAGGGATTGACAGCTCTGTCAATTCTGGAAGGATAGGTGGCTCCAAAATCAACCTCTAAAAGCCTTACACCCTGGCATATATCAGTAACTAGTATATTTTGATATATGGAGATGTCTGTTTATTGATGTCCTGGGGAAGGGGAGTAATGAAATCTCGTAAACCATCTCTTCTAGTTGAAATGTGCTTCTGTTTACTTATGCAGAATCAGTAAACCATCTCTTCTTGCACTGTCCAGTGGCAACAGATATATGGAATATTTTTTTAGCAGTTTTTGGTCTCAGTTAGTCTATTCCTCAGGATATCAAGGAAGCAGTTGAAGGCTGGTGCTCGTGGAAAGTTGGCAAAACCATCAAGAAGACCTGACAAATAATCCCAACATGTATCTGTTGGTGTATTTGGACAGAGAGGAACACCAGATGTTTTGATGGCATTTCAACTTCCATCAACCTATTGAAATCTAAGTGTCTAATGAACCTGTTTAGTTGGAGTAACCTTTCCCCTGTAAATGATGTTATTCCCTTCTTAGATTTCGTTAGCTCTCTTACTATGGTTTAATAGTGATACTTTTGGTTCTTGGTCTTGGTCAACTCCCAGCTTTATAGGTTTTTGTATTAGGAGTTAACCAAGGGCTTTCACTTTGTACTTTTTCTGCATCTTCTTAATGCCTTTAATGAAAAACTTTACTTCATAAAAAAAAAAGATTTATTTACAGCTTTCCCAGTCTAAATTTTATCAAATGCTAGTGTAGATACAAAGTTCCACATAAAGCTTCAGCACTTGACTTGTACAATTATGATGCTTTCGTTACTAAGACTGAGAGCCTATAGAGGAGAAGCATTGTCCCCCCTTCACCGTGATAAATTATCTGATCACAAACTTGGAATCATGTGGTAGTGAAAATTGGGTTACTTTTTAGTCCGGTCCTGGATGGTCTGTCTCTTTTGGGGAGAAGATTTTCTATCCCGCCTGCCTATGAAGAACTACAAGACTATTGACAATAAAATCTGTCACCTGTAATACTGTTGAATCAGAATGTTTGGATGCTGTTCCATTTGACCTGTAACACTAAAGTTCTTTTAAAATTTTGTTCATATTCTCTTAAACTGCTCACTGACATCACTCTCCATGTTTTGTTTAGCACTCAGTTGAATAAACCTTTTAACTCACGTGAATGCAAGTTTCACAGTTCTAGCAGTTTGGAAACTGGGAATCTGCTGACATTGCATTTAGAGTATTTGAAGCAGGAAAATGTCCAATATAGATATGTGAATTTATAGGAAAGCAAAGCCATCCTGGGTAATTAGCAATAGGCCGGTATCCTTTTATGAAGTGAACTTCCCAAATCTTTTGTGAACTGGTGATTGCTTTTCAAACAGGGAGGGATTGTCACAAGTATAGCTGAAGCTCAAAGTTCCTATCCAGGAATGCTGAGATACCAAGTTCAATTTGTCTCAGATTTGCATTAACTAGTATACTAGTATATTTTGATAAGGTAATGATTTATTGATGTCCTGGGGAAGGGGAGTAATGAAATCTCGTACACAAATTGTGTGTCAAAAGTAGGGAACCTTGTACACACAACGCTGAATGGTGGAACAGTTATAAGGACTCTTGATTCCATTGTTCCTTTGCTCTTCAGTTGTGTCCCTTTTGATAAGAAAACAAAATTAATAGTCTTCGGTTATGTACCTTGAGTAAAAAGAAATGTTAATGCTGTTATAACGTACCTGATTTCATTTTCCTCTGCCCTTCAGTAATGTACCTTATACTAAAAAGAAATGCTAATACGGTTATAAGGACACTTGATTTCATTTTCAGTCAAGAGAAATGTAATGCATTCAGATTTCTATTACTAGTATATAAGCCACTGATTGCCTTCTTAAGCGTATGCTAATTCTGCTCTTATATCAATTGCATGTCAGTATCTTCATGGTTTTTATCCCTTCTTTTTCTTAGGTATCTCCTTTGTACAGTGGGATCGGTGTACATCAAATCAAAGGAGGCTCCTGCCAAGGATATTCTCAAAGATCTGGTGGAAATGTGCCGTAGCATACAGCATCCGTTACGTGGGCTCTTCCTAAGGAGTTACCTTTCCCAAGTCAGTAGGGATAAACTGCCTGATATAGGATCTGAATATGAAGGGTAAGGGCATCACCTAGCTGCATTACCAGCGATTTAGGTACATTATTGTGTCAGATGCCCAAATTAGCTGGGTTACCTTAGCAATGGTCTAATTGCAAGGTTTACGCACACTGGAAGAAAATTTACAAAATGAACGTTTAGTTGGATACCCTGACATGCTGTTCCCACAGGGATGCTGACACTGCCATGGATGCTGTAGAATTCGTGCTCCAAAATTTCACAGAAATGAACAAACTTTGGGTGCGAATGCAACATCAGGTTGGTTCAATTGTCTGTGAATGCTGTAACTGCTCTCGTACTTTGACATGAATAATGCCACAACACCTGCATGTCATGAAGGTAAAAGAAATCATGAGGACATACTTTGTGGTCATGCAGGTGTTTTAATGCTTCTGAATGATACATACTCTTTGCTGATCATGAGTTGAGGGTTGCGTCGGGCTTTCTGGTCTGCAGGGACCTGCACGGGAAAAGGAAAAACGTGAAAAAGAAAGGAGCGAGCTTCGCGATCTTGTAATGAGCTGTTACTTAGGCATGATTACTAGCAATTGAAATATGCCACGGATGTGCACACTTATGTGAGGATTTTCGTTTTGCTCTTATTATTGGTAGGTGGGGAAAAACCTGCATGTTCTAAGTCAAATTGAGGGCATTGACCTTGATTTGTACAAAGATATGGTGCTTCCAAGAGTTCTAGAGCAGGTAATTTGCTTCTGGTGGCCTTCCCTATCGTAATTATTTAAGCCAAAATCTTTACAATATTCTCACTCATAGTGTACCGCATGTTATGTTTAGGTTGTCAACTGTAAAGATGAGATTGCACAGGGATATTTGATGGATTGCATCATCCAAGTCTTCCCTGATGAGTACCACTTACAAACTCTTGAAACATTACTAGATGCTTGCCCCCAGTTTCAGGTATGTCAGTATTGTTCAATCATAGATTGGGATTTTCTTTAACTGCAATAGCAAAATGTAGAAGCAAAACTGTCATACCTGGTGGGACACCACGGGCGTGAGGTTGATTTACTGTCTGCAAGAATGTTTAAGATAAACTCGGCGTTATAAATTCAAAAATTAGGTTATGGAGGCCAATGAATAATGCAGTTCGTGTCTAATGCTAGAAGATAGGCTGGGAAACTTAAGAGATTAGGTATGCTTTTGTTCGATAATTTTTATACCTGATCAAAAAAAATCTTGGACCAAATCTACATCACTTATGAAGTCATTGTTGTAAAGTAAATTCTTGCCACTTGTTTGTTTTAAACTATCTCTTTGACAGTTCTAGACAGTGGACAATCAGTGGTCCTTTTTTATCAGAACTTAACTTACCAAGCATTATTTGCTATGTCATTTGTGTTTTTAGATCATTTGCTATGTCATTTATGTCTTGTGTCTTCAGCCATCTGTTGATATCAAGACAGTGCTTGCTCGTCTGATGGAAAGGCTTTCAAACTATGCTGCTTTAAGTGCAGAAGTTAGTAACAAATTCAATCTTCTTCAGAATTAGAGATTTACACCTTGCAGTTTCTGAATAATTTCTTCCTGCAGGTCTTACCTGAGTTTTTCCAGGTTGAAGCTTTCACAAAACTAAACAATGCCATAGGCAAGGTAATTGAGATTACTGTTCTTAAATATATTAAAACTGCTATATGGATTCTAGAATGCTTTGGGGAGAAACCTTTTTTATATCCTGGATTTCTACCTCAACCGAGTAGGGATTTAGTGGATATTGCTGATGTTTTGGAATTTCATAAAGAGATACTTATTGACCAGCAATTTTTGTGTTTGTTGGAGATTCAGATAAATCTTAGAAATAAAGTAGCAGAAAGATTCATTCAGGGTGATTATCGCTTGTGAAAATATAGATGGTAACATTGTACTGTAATCATGACCTGATGATTCTGATCTGTTCTCCATTTGAGAAATTGGACCAGAAAACTTTCCAAGATGTTCTTGGTTGTTTCGTTTCCTAGAATAAACAACAATTACTGTTGTTTTCTGGAAAGGAATTATTTTGGTTTTCGAAAAACAAAACCTTAACGAAAAGGCTGTTAGTAATCCACAGTAAACCGATACTTGCAGAATCATATCGAATGACAGGTATTTTTCCAGAGAAAACAAAACAAAAGCAAACAAAACAGACATCCCAAAAATGAACCAAATAACACGACTTTAAAATCCTTGCACTACGGTTTTTTCCTGATCAGTAATGAATTTTAGTTATGTATACTTTCTTTGATTATGATGATGCGCTTCGTTATGCATGTCTCTCTGTTGATGCAGGTGATAGAGACTCAAGAAGACATGCCTATTGCTGGAGTGGTGACTTTGTATGCATCTCTTTTGACATTTACTCTTCATGTCCACCCTGATCGCCTTGATTATGTAGATCAGATTCTGGTAGGTTCTGTTTCTCTCTCTCAATAAGTAGTTGCCATACACACTACGGTTCTAGGTTTTATGTTTCTGGGTAAGTTTATTAGTCTGTTGTGTTTTCTGGATATATAATGAACATGTGAAATTTGTAGAACAGAAACACAATAAGTTGAACGCAAAAACAAGATAAGTTGAACGTGAAACTTTTCAAACTTTGAAGGCTATGTCAATTTAGACGGCTTTCTGGCCTGCCTGGTTTGCGTGGAGCCTGTAATGATCACACTCTTTTTCACATGCAGGGTGCATGTGTTCAGAAACTTTCTGGGAAAGGAAAGCTCAAAGACAATAAAGCAACAAAACAGATTGTGGCCCTACTAAGTGCTCCCCTGGAGAAGTACAAGGATATAGATACTGTGCTAAAGCTGTCAAATTATCCTCATCTTATGGAGTATCTTGATGATGCAACTAGTAAAGTGATGGCTAATGTTTTGGTTCAAAATATTCTGAAAAATAAGACTTGCATTTCAACTGCTGAAAAGGTTTGATGTTAGTTAATTGTGTGTACTTGAATTTATTGCTTACAAGTGTTTCCCATTTGTTACTTGAAATTGCTGGTCTTGTCAGGTTGAGGCACTTTTTGAGTTAATGAAAGCACTGATTAGAGATTTGGGTGAGGATGTTAATGATGAGGTGGACTGGAAACTCTGCTTGCTTTAACATTTACCTTAGTTCTTAATCTTATATTTCCCTTGTATCCTCACTGGCATCTATTTTTAAATTAGTTTGTCAATGCAGTATGCAATTGTGTCTTAGTTTCTTCATCCTCCAATTTTCAGCTTGATGAAGATGATTTCAAGGAAGAGCAGAATTCTGTTGCACGGCTTATTCAAATGCTTCACAATGATGATCCTGAAGAGATGCTGAAGGTAATTATGATTTACTTTCTTTTAAGTTACTTATATACTCCTTTGAGGGACAGCCTCTGTACTTGTTATTGCTGAAAAATCATGCCCTTGTAGCATAATGCCTTTTCGGATTGAGGTTGGTCAAGTGTACTCTTATGCATGTTCCTGGTGGACATGTGTACTTACTTTCTTCCCTTTTCCTGGTCAAGGTAAGGTCGCTTGAGATGGTTTGGTTATGTCCTGTGTTGACCTACATATGCACCGGTCCGTAGGTGTGAAACTATGGTTGGGGAAGGTGTTAAAAGGGGACGGCATAGACCTAAAATCACATGGAAGATAGTTGTCTCAAAAGACGTACAAATCCTTGGAATCAATGCAGACTTAGCTAAAGATGCACAATGGAAGAGAAAAATTCATATAGGTGATACATGCTAGTTGGGAATAGGTTTTGGACTTGGCAGAGAAATTCTTTTGTTGTTGTTGTTGTTATTATTATTACTATATTATATATATATATATATATATATATATTTATCTTTTTACTTGCAGTTTTATTTTATTTTGGTAATGATGTTGATATGAGTTGAGCTAATTGAAAGGAATGAGTATTCATATCGCCGACCCCAACTTGTTTGGGATTGAGACATAGTTGTTGTTGATTGCCCTTAGCTTATCGTCAGCATCTAGATTCAGGAAACATTACAAAGGTACTTGTTTTCTAATAGAATGATAGTTTCTAATCCCTTCACCAAAAGTTGAACGTGGTGGTTTGATTGGCAGAAAATAAAGTAAGAAAGCCGTTAGTTGTTTCCATTTGTATTTCTTTTGTTTCTCTGGGTAAATGGTGTAAAAGTAGGTTGGCCACAGCCTTTCATATTATAGAATATTCAAACAATAGTCTGTACAGTGTCAAATATATATTTTCCAGGATGTGGTCATGGTTGTTTTGACATCCCAAAGAAGTAACCAGGAGTATGAACTTGGGATAGAATACCATGTATTATCTTTTTTTTAAGTCATTTTCTTCTATCAAGTAATCACTACCTCTTGCAAGAGAAGATACTGATATTCCCTATTATCCTCTAAGTTTCTAACCAGAGAGATGGATGGGAATGAGCTATAGAGTCTTAACATCAGGTTCAACTTGCAGGTGATGAGTTGGATGTCCTGATATTGATGTATAATTCCATTCTCAAAAAACGATATTGATGTATATATGATGATCTACTGCGAAGAGTGTTGATGTTTCACTTTGTTATTAAGAAGGGGGAAAAAGGAAAATGATGAGAAACCCAATGACTGCCAACACTGGAAGAGAACTTTAAGATGACCATGTACAAGCCCAGCTTGTAACCAAAATGAGCAGTTCATGCCTCGTGGCTCTGTGGTTCACTTTTTTTTTATATGATCGTTTATGCTCAAGACAAGGCATGCATCTGATGATAATGTTGTATGGTTTGCTTCTATGTGGCTGCAATGTTTGTTTTCCTAGTTGTAAGTGTTGTTTTCTTGCTTCCGAGAGTTGTTACCGTTAGATATGTACATAATGTAGTCTTGTCCCACATTGGAATAGGAGTAGTATGTCCTTGTATAGAATAACTATAAATAAGGACCTCTTGTATTGTATTGAACACACAATATCAATATATCATATTTTCTCCCGTGCCTTCCACATGGTATCAGAGCTATCGTGAGAGATTTATCGCTGTGCATAAATTCCAGCGATTCCGGGAAGTGAATTCAGTCATCGGAACCCTTTTTTTCCGGCGACTTTTCAAAGTTGTTTTGCATCTGCTTTGTCTCGGTTAGTGTTGTGCAAAATCCAACACTACCACAAGAGTAGTCACTGTCCGGCAACCAAACCCCAGTGAAAATCTCCGGCGGTAGTATAGCGGTCGGAAGAAAATTTTCCGGTGAAGTTCTGACGTCGCGTGGGCCACCTTGCGGCCATTTTTTGGTGAAGATTCTTCCGGATAGATTGTTTCCCTTGCAATTCCGAGCCTACCCATCCAGGTTACACTAAATTCCGACACTTTTATATTTTTCCGGTGTGAACAGTGATTTTAAAAGTGGACTTCCGGCCATTTTTTGAAAAAGTTTCTTCAGATCAGTTGGGTCGTCTAGTAATTCCGATCCTCCCTACTGTTTTTATTTCATTCCGACCACTTTGAATTCTTTCCGGCTGCTACAGTAATATTCCGAGAGCTACAGTATTTCGGAGTGAACACTGTTTTCCGGCGCAGAACAATGTTCTGTTTTCCTGCTGTAAACAGTATTTTCTCAGCGATTTCTTCAGTTTTCCCAAAGGAGTTACTAATTTTCACTATTTCAAGTTAACCTTACTACTATTAATTGTAGCGACATGGGAACCAATACTTCGAATAGTCGGATGGTTTCTTTAGTAGATTATTTTGAGTTTCTTCAGTACAAAGCAGGTAAGCAGACATCTTCTGAGATAGCTTCCGTTGTTCAAACAGGTAATAGCGTGACTTGTGTCTCTCAATCTTCATCCTCTGAGTCTTGGGTCATTGATTCAGGTGCATCGGATCATATTTCTGGTAACAAATCTCTTTTCACTATTTTGTATTCTCAATCTCTTCCAAGAGTCACAATGGCCACTGGGTCTCAAACCATGGCAACTGCAATAGGTCAAGCAAGCCCAATTCCTTCCTTACCTTTAGATTCAGTTCTTTATGTCCCTAATAGTCCTTTTAATCTCACAGCTGTTAGTCGCCTGGCCAAATCACTTAAATGTGTCGTTTTATTTCTTGATGACCAGTTTTATACAGGAATGCAGTATAGGGCGGATCATTGGTACCGGGCGTGAATCAAATGGACTTTATTACCTTATCCTTGCTAAATCACATGGACTCACATCTTGTCTTCCTTCAACAACTTGTTTTGTTACTGATTCACCAGATTTATTACATAAACGGTTGGGACATCCTAGTTTGTCAAAACTTCAGAAAATGGTACCTGGTTTATCTCACTTGTCAGCTCTAGAATGTGAGTCTTGTCAGCTCGGTAAGCATACTCGCTCTCATTTTCCTCGACATATTGATAATCGAGCAGAGTCACCTTTTACTTTAGTCCATTCAGATGTTTGGGGTCCTAGTTGGGTCAGTTCTACATTAGGATTCCGCTACTTTGTTAGTTTCATTGATGACTATTCTAGGTGCACCTGGATATTTTTGATAAAAAATTGATCTGAGTTGTTTTCTATTTTCCAGACCTTTCACGCTGAAATTCAAAATCAATTTGGGGTTTCTATTCTCACATTTCGTAGTGATAATGCCCGATAGTATTTGTCTTTCCCATTTCAGCAGTTTATGAAATCTCATGGGATTATTCATCAAACATCTTGTCCGTACACATCTCAACATAATGGGGTAGCTGAAAGAAAGAATAAGACATCTTATTGAAACTGCTCGTACCCTACTCATACAATCTCATGCTCCGTTGCGTTTTTTGGGGGAATGCAGTTCTTACATCTTGCTATCTTATTAATCGTATGTCATCTTCAGCTATCCAGAACCAAGTTCCATTCTCTGTTATGTTTCCCCACTTACCTTTGTTCCCTCTTCCACCCCGTGTCTTTGGAAGCACTTGTTTTGTCCATAATCTTACTCCAGGAACAGATAAATTAGCTCCCCGTGCTCTTAAGTGCGTATTTTTTGGTTTCTCGAGAACGCAAAATGGGTATCGATGCTATTCTCCTGACCTCCAGCGGCACCTTATGTCCGCTGATGTTACCTTCTTTGAAACCCAATCATACTTCACAGGTCCAGGTAATCACTTAGATATTTCTGAGGTACTACCAGTCTCTTCTTTTGGAGATTCAGTCACTATCTCCCATCCATCTTCCTCTACATCTCCAGCTCCACCACCTATAGGTCCAATTCCTCCACATAATCTAGTTCAACCTTCTGCAGCTCCGTCACTCTTGACTTATCATCGCCGTCCACATCTAGCATCAGGCCCAGGTGATTCACGTCTTGCATCAGATTCTGCACCTACTGCGGACTTGTCTCATCTTAGTCAACCAATTGCACTTCGCAAAGGTGTACGGCCACACTTAATCCTAATCCCCACTATGTTGGTCTAAGTTATCATCGTCTGTCGTCACCTCATTATGCTTTTATATCTTCTTTGTCCACTGTTTTTATTCCTAAGTCTACAGGTGATGCACTATCTCATCCTGGATGGCGACAGACTATGATTAACGAGATGTCTGTTTTACATGCGAGTGGCACTTGGGAGCTTGTTCCTCTTCCTACAGGTAAGTCTACTGGTGGTTGTCGTTGGGTTTATGCAGTCAAAGTCTGCCCGGATGGCCAGGTTGATCGGCTTAAGGCTCGTCTTGTTGCAAAAGGATATACTCAGATTTTTGGGTTTGATTATAGTGATACTTTCTCTCCCATGGCTAAAGTAGCATCTGTTTGTCTTTTTTTGTCCATGGCTGCTGTAGTCATTGGCCTCTTTATCAGTTAGACATTCAGAATGCTTTTCTCCACGGTGATCTTGGCGAGGAAGTTTATATGGAGCAACTACCTGGTTTTGTTGCTCAGGGGGAGTTTAGTGGTTGTGTATGCAGATTGCGCATGTCACTATATGGTTTGAAACAGTCCCCTCGAGCCTGGTTTGGTAAGTTCAGCACAATTATTCAGGAGTTTGGCATGGCTCGTAGTGAGACTGATCACTTTGTGTTTTATCAGCATTCTGCTCCGAATCTGTGTATTTATCTGNTCACAGTGACTAGACTTGACATTTCTTTTCCGGTGAGTGTTGTAAGTCAGTTTATGGATTCTCCATGTGATAGTCACTAGGATGCAGTTGTTTGTATTCTTCGGTATATAAAGTTAGCTCCGGGCAAAGGATTACTATTCGAGGATTGAGGCCACGAGCAGATTGTTGGGTACACAGATGCTGATTGGGCAGGATCACCTTCTGATAGACGATCTACATCTGGATATTGTGTTCTAGTATGAGGTAATTTGGTCTCGTGGAAGAGCAAAAAACAAAATGTAGTTACTCGATCTAGCGCCGAAGCGGAATATCGGGCCATGGCTATGGCAACGTGTGAGTTAGTTTGGG